AAAAGTTTGAGGATGAGTCTCCAAGAGCCCCATTTTCTCATCTCAAATTTTATTATTGTTTAAATATTTGATTCATTGTTTTGCTCTTTGGATTTCGATATGTAAAGTTATTTACGTGATTCTACATAAATCGCTGTTTTCCTCTACGAATGCAGAGTAGAAACAGCTATAATAATAGCATGATTTTATAGTGAAAAAGAGAATCAGAGTAACTTATCTGTTCAATTATGAGCATTGATTAAGCTTAAAAGTAAGTCAAGTTTACTTTTAAGTAGTTTTTTTTCTCTATAATGATGGTTACATTACTTTCTCCTAGTAGGTAGAAAAAGTTCATTATTTTGAAATTAGAGCAGGATAAAGAGCATCTCCCAAAAACTTTTTATTTTTTAAGAATATATTCTATCATTTGGAGAACATCTATAAATTTAGAGAGTTAAACATTTTGAAGTACTCCAACAAGCTCTTTATATTTAACACTTAATTTGACTGCTCCAAAAAAATATTTATTATTTTTTTCCATATTTTGTTTTAACTAGCTTTTCTCTAGATTACTTTATCATTTTTCTACATTGAAAATTGAAACATTTTGAATGCATTTAATTATAGAAAGTGAGTCCGACTCTTTAAATTAACATTTTAATTTAAAGAACTTATTGATACATGATTTTAAGGTTTGACTCTTTTAAATAGAAAGCATTTCATATTTAAAAAGTTTATTGAAGATGCTCTAAGTCAATGTTTGAGCCCCATTTATTTGAAAATTCATTTTTTCAAAACTCATTTTCATCCACATATTCCCTAATAAAATAATATTACTCATAAATCGAATTTTTTCTTAATTTTTAACCATACATTCTCTAAAAATTATTATTCAAAAATGCATTTTTTTTCTCTCAAAATGGAGCTCAAACAATATTGAAAATATTTTTTCTATAACGCTAATTTACTTATAAGTAGATTTTTAAGCTAAGCACAATATGCAATATGTAGTACAGACGTTCCATCAAATAGTTTACATCCGTAAAAGGAGTTAATTGCTCCAATGGTCATCGAACTTAGATCTATGTCTTCGATTTATCACTGAAATTTAAAATGTCAAGTTTTGGTCACTGGACTTAGGTCCATGTCTTCGATTGCTAACTGAAATTTAAAATGTCGAGTTTTGACCACTGAACTCTAAAAAATGTTATATATTACTTACTGTAAAAATATCGAGTTTACAGTAAGTAATATATAACATTTTTTAGAGTTCAGTGGTCAAAACTCGACATTTTAAATTTCAGTTAGCAATCGAAGACATGGACCTAAGTTCAGTGACCAAAACTTGACATTTTAAATTTCAGTGACTAATCAAAAACATGAGCCTAAATTCAGTGACCATTAGAACAATTAATTCCTGTAAAAAGAGTAGAACGTTCAAATAAAAAGAATAGGGTTATACCTGCTCAGAGAGGTAAATAGCAAAGAAAGAAACCCACCACCAGTTTTTGCCATATTGCCGCCGCATATCGGTAAATCTCCAGTCTTCCCGGGCACCCCACTGCCACTCTTCCCGGCGGAAGTAGTTATGAGAAAGCCTAATGCTCCAAATACAAGTCAAAAATCTCACCAGACTCGACCTTAAAAGATTGTATTCTGCCAACGGATGAGTTCCATAGTAATGCACCAGCAACAATGGTATCACCGTCCAATACGGATCTATCATCTGCACCCAATGTTAAAGGTCAAATTCCGCGTTGCTTAAGTATGAAAGTTTATAATCAGCATCAGAGCTGAAAAAGCAATTCTGAATCTATGTAATGCTCAAATCAATAGTCAAATTCGAATACTATCTTGCGAGAAAATACTAAAGCGTATATAAGGTCCTGAGCTTTTATACCAGATTAAGATGGAACAGACTGAATGCCCAAAATGACAACGAGTAAGATTAGTTATAAAAAGTGGATACACAAGGTAAAAAATCATAATTACCCACCCAATGGCTCGACTGAAGAAGCCCAATCATCCAGAAACCAAGACTAACATTGAGGAAAAAGAGGGCGTTGGCCAATAGCAGAGGGTGTTGGTAGCACCAAATCCACAAAGGCGACAGAGAATTGCCATCGCCTGCTGCAGTAATAAGAGGATGATCACGGAATTGGCCGAGGAAATAGAGATAGAAGAGAATGGATGGAAGAGGGATCAAAAATGCCATTACAGCATTACGAATATTCACGGCCATGATCAAGCTACTGCAGCTTCTTCTTCTTCTTGTTAAGTTTGTATTTGAATTTGACGTGCATGTGTATTTTTATATATAGAGATGGAGGGATTCGGCGCATGCGTGTGTAGGGTCAAATAGCATAATAATTATTTGATTATAAAATTGTTCCCCACGCTTGGTTAAGCTTTGTAATGAGTTAATTTTTCTCTATTTTTATGTAAAAAAGATTACCAATTTTAAAAGTAATTGTCAAAAAAAAAATATTTTACCTCGCAACAAATTGCAAAAATCACTCCAATTCAACACCAAATTTCTATATAATTTGGTGCAAAATTATTTATTTGATGTAGTTTTTAGAGTTTTTCATAATTTTCATTTTGTTCTT